CTAACATCATACATACAGAAATTACGTCCCAATTTTTTTTTTTTTTTTTTTTTGTTTAATCTAAGATCAATTTGAGAACATATTTTCCATTATACTGCTAGATACCAGCATTTATACTTGGTTTTTACAGTGCTAAAGTGGTAATTTACATGCTTTTATACTGAAAATAACTTTAAAAATTACCAATTTTATTATATTAATTCTCTAAATTTGTTCGAAATTTCATATTTGCTTGAAGTCTATTGAAGCTTTAAGCTTTAACAATATTAGAGAATTAAAAGAAGATAAATTTAATTAAAACTATAAAAATTCTATTTTAATTTACCTTAAAGTATGTTATTTACTTTATTTTCTAAAATATTTAATGAGAAAAATCATGTAAATGAACGTAACCAATAATAATCTACATGCATTTGCTGCTACTATACATCTGTGTTTCTCCTTATAACTATAAATTTTATCAATTATCTATTAATAAATCTCACCAAATTGATTTATCTAATTTACAGATTGTGGGCCTGACAAAATTTTTGATAGGTATAGATAGAGGGCCCTGTTATTTCTCACAGATCCTTCATTGTACCATCTCTTCCATCTTGGACCTGGCAGAATTTATAATAGGATATAGAGATCTTTTTAATGTTAATAGATTCCTTATCACACTACCGCTTCAATTGTAAGCTTGGAAGAATCTATGATATGTATACAACGCCCTCTTAGTGTTCACGGATCCTTCATCATACCACCATTTTCATTGTGGGCCCGAAAGATTTCATGTTCACTAGTAGAAAAGTGGTTAAATTATGTAAATTTCTCATACAATTAATTAATTAATTTACGAAGCAAGATTATCCATAGATAATCTATAAAATCTACACGAAATACATGTTATTAATTCCGAGAAATTTCCAAGTTCAGTCATTGACCTTCGTTACATTTTATAAAAATCTATTCTAACAACTCGATTGAAGTTCATGCGCTTACAAATTATCTTTATTCGAATTTATGATAAACACCACCGGTTTTATAGACTACTCACTTATGCATGCTGTCTGTAGTTTAAAAATGCATCCTATCAACAAGCCAGACCTGTCACTGGAATCTGCCATTATAGAAATAAAACGAGGAAAAAGTCGTGGTTCGATCCTCTCAAGACTTTCCTCAAACCAAACTTCAGATGATTGTTATAACATGGATCTAGTAGACAGTTATGACGTAAGATTTTAAGAGATTAGATATTATTTCAGATTAAAAAATAAATTTTCTTTATCATCCCTTCGTATTCATCATCATTTTGTTCGAATTTCTTTAGTTTAAGTATTGTAAAAACCGAGTTAAACTTAAGTTAGGATGATGTGACCTCTCGATGATCCATTATAATATAATGATATATCCTGTAAATTTATATACGGGATTCAATACAGAATATATAAGTATATAGCTTATATATAGGCCTATATATAAATCAAAATATATGTACAGTACGTATGTTAGGTAAAGGGTATGTACCGTTCAACGTATAGCACATGAATATTCTGTGAAACCATAGAAAAATACTGTGGAGGTTCCACTTCTTTTGTCCATAGAAGACTGAGAGATACTCTATAATAAATATGTATGACATATATTAAGAGTATCGTTAGGTTTTATAATCAATTTAAGCAAGAAAATATATATTTATAATAAAATTAAATGATGTTTTTAATGTCTCTCCCCCTATAAAGCTACTGTAAAATTTAATTAAAAGCACGAATATATCAACAAATACTTCTTTTAGTGTAAAAATCTTGAGAAAATCTTTGAAAAACTTACCAAACTAATTAATTAGCACAAGAATATCCACGGTTAAGCCCATTATTAAGACTCTACGGGATCAGCCAGCATGGTACAATCTCTACCATTCGTGATAAATTATGAGGTCTAGATCATGTTCTAAAATTTGTGCCATAATTTATCAAGCATATCACGTGATATGCGTTGCCCTTGATCAAGTATGAAATCTGGTCCGGGTTCGATTTCAATCATCGTGATTCATTATACCGTCGTAAAGCGAGCTGTCGTGGTTCTATTACCCTCAGTGTGTTAAATTGAGATTAAGTCGTTGGAAATACAGCTTCAATTATACAATGTAACACAAAGATGGTCAACATAATACGGCATGTCATAATAAAAAATGTACGTAAGTAGTAAACACTAGAGTCGTGATGAGAGAATCTACATTACACTTGCTACAATATGTTCGCCTTTGTAACTGTCACTAAATCGAAGTATTTAAAAACAATAGTCAAGTATGTACGCAGTGGTAACAATGGCGTTTATAATAATAAAAAAAAATCGTAAATATCAAAGGGTCTGGTTAAAATTTATAGTGAAGATCCATNATTGAGATTAAGTCGTTGGAAATACAGCTTCAATTATACAATGTAACACAAAGATGGTCAACATAATACGGCATGTCATAATAAAAAATGTACGTAAGTAGTAAACACTAGAGTCGTGATGAGAGAATCTACATTACACTTGCTACAATGAAGAAGATTCACGTTTTCGGAATGTAAATTTATTATAAGTCTCAGGTTCAAATATTTCTGTAGAATTTTCCGTATTTCACGTTATTATTCAGATGGTGGACATGTTTTATGTTGGCATAAATCTCACAATTTGCATAGATTTAAACCAAGGATTAGTTTTATCTGAATTCATCAAGACATGTGTCATGTGTTATGAATTGTTTCTTTCACTAAAATGAAAGAAATCTTCTTTAGTTACATAAGGATAAGTTCATTGTTTAACAATTAAAATTTGACAATAATGTAATTTCTTTACTAATTGTTTTATACAGATTGGTACAAAAGACGAGCATACAAATATGTTGTTGATACATCAATGGATCCACTAGTATAGAATTCACAGTCGTATCCACACCATTAAAATATGGTGTAGATACATTCAAGAGATTTCAAGAGATGCTTTCCACAAGCTTTCAAGAGATTCTCACTCGATTCGAGTGAGCATCACTTGAAAGCTTGTGGAGTTAATGGTCTTCGGCATAAATTCTTACGTCCATTGCTGTTGTTTTCATAAAAGAAATGCTTCACAAGAAATAAGGTTCTGGCCATCGTAACTGATAAAAATGGCATTCATAACAATTGTCGTCAGTTTTATACACAGAACTTGGTTGAAACACGTGTGCTTATGCAAAACAAAACTGCTTCTTCGTTGCTTGCAGCGCCAAAACTCCACACTGGTGAGTCTTGTTACTCATTTTTGTTTATTTTTTTACGTGTCCTGAAATGTCACCATACCAGATTTGGTTGTATTTGGACTGCTAAACACCTCTCTAAACGGCTTTGAATACGGATATAGTACTTTAATTACAATCTTTAGGTGTCAATGCATAAGATGACATAACACGTCGTCATACTACGACGACTATGACAATTCTAAACACAAGTCTTGAGTTTGAGTCATGTGATTTGGTGATAACAATGTTTACAATATAAAATCGTACATTTACACTCTCACAAATAATGAAAGGTTCTCGGTTTAACGTTTTACAAGGAAGATCCATTCGCTAGTATTCATTGACACTTCACACCAGTGATACGCTATTTAGGGGTTCACTAAATCAAGGTTTACTGTAGTATAAGTAGAATGAATTACTTAAATTCGTTTATATTATTACTCGGGTATATTTAAATTTTACTTTAATACATTTAAAAACGTTTGTATGAATGTTTTATGTAATGCAGATTCATAATTAATGGTGAACACACGAAAATAAACGTGTAAACTGACGTTTTTGCAGCTGTTTACATTGAATAATTTGCTTTATCTAAGCAGCAGAAGTAAGAGCAATTCATAATTCATATTTTACATCATAGCTTATGTCAGGCATCATTATTTAAAGCTAAAGATATGTAAAAAAAACAGGAAGCGCATGACTAGAATTATGGAAAATTAAGAATACGACTTTTCTGCTTAAATTTTCCTGTTACAAATGTAGAAAAATTTAAGCCAAAGAGTTTTTTTCTTTCGTTGTTTACCAGTTTCTATACATAGAAATCCTGATTTTACTTTCCTGGCTGTTATTTAACAGAGGGAAAGTATGGACATCGATCATAAAACGACTCCCACCCTCAAGATTTTTACATTTTTAGACCTAGAAATGCAAAGAAGTTGGGGTTTTCCCCTTTATTTATGGGTGTTAATCTGTTTGGGGTTATGCTTTTTTTTACCCACTTTGAAGCTTAATAGCTCCTGTGCCTTTTATCGAAATTTCCTAAAATTTTTCATGGAGATTTGAGTATTAAAGGTAAACATTTCTGGAAATTTTCAAAATAATCGGACGGTGGGTTCGGGAAATATGGCCGCACACCCTTAATATCTCCCGAACCAATCTGAAGACTTGAAGGTAATTGTTACTTAAAATGTTATATATTTTGCTCGTTATAATGGATAAAATTAACCTTTTAGAATTAATTTTATACCCTTTGAATACTGTTTTTGAAGTAAGAAACGATAATATAATCAAACCGAATTGATAGTTCAAATGTAATTGCGTTAAGAACAATTGATGTAGAGGAGTTTAGCGAGTAAACAAATTGATATCCTCAAGTCATCCAGAAGATAAAACAGTAAAAATAATTCATTAAATCGAACTGAAAAAAAACAGTATAAATAAATAGTTATTTATAGAAACAAAAATATTTCTCGACAAATTTGATTATGATTAAGCAAAATTTGTTTTTCTTCTCGGCACGATGAATGTTTGTTGCGTTGAAAAAACTGAAAGTGTAGATAATGCATGAAGATTCACGGCAATTTGAATGCATAAACAGGCTTTTAATATAACTTGGATGCTTAATGCTATACACATTAAACATCCAAGTTATACTATGCATCTATATTTACTAATTCATTCATTATATGTACTCGTGTTAAGCATTCAAGCTTATATTCTACATATATGTTAACCTGCTTAACACGGATTAGAGTGCATATTATCTTGAATGAGTAAACATAGATTATAACGTAACTTGAATGCTTAATGTAAGTATATAACTCACCTTAGATGGTTAAAATAAGCGCATAACATACCTTAACGTGAGTGCATAACATGGATTTTGATATCTTGAACGTGTAAATATAGGTGTGTAGCATAACTCCGATGATTAATGTTAATATATAATCTCAATTATATGCTTAATATAGTTTGAATTCTATTGTATATAAGCTATGTGTTACTCTTCAATAGAGATAATTACAAGACAAATATCTGAATAAATAATACGATTAAGTTATTAAATATTTACGAAAACTTATGCTAATATTCTATATAAAATTACTAATCTATTTAATAAGGAATATAGAAACCACATTAATTATAATTAAAAATAATTAGATATTTAACAGCGTTAAACACAACTGATAACCTACAAGAACAGCAAACTGTAATCAAATAAGCGAGAAAATTGATGTCCACAACTCTTCCTCACGCAATTAACATCGATTTAATAATTATTAATTTAAATTTCTAAAAAAAAACATTAATTGTAATTAAACAGTAACTTCATATTTACAATTCTGCTGTAGCATTAAGTACAATTGATATACAGTATATCTATAATACATCAAGCCAGTTAATTGCAATTAACATCGATTTAATCCTTATAAATTGAAATTTAATTAGCATTTACACTTTAAAATATATTTAAAAAATAATTTTAAAGAGGTGCAAAGTGTATATAACGAGAAGTGTATTTATAATTTAAGTTTTTATGGTAATTATTTCAATAACTTAATTAAAAATTTGTCCTATTTAAGTCTGCTTTACGCTTTTATTTATATGATTTAACTTCTTCTTCTTCTTCTTCTTCTTCTTGGGCTTTTGTTATCTTTCAGGAAATTAATTTGTTGTGCCAAATAGGGCAAAGCGTGTTATTCTCCTTGCCTTGGAGATTCCTGATAACATTTTGCTACTACAAAACCAGCGAATGTTATCTCGAGTTTTGTAACAAGAATCCTTTGTTCTACATCAAATATTTGTATTTATCATTATTTTTGTTTTATTTTCTGAAATTCTTTCATTTTTTTCCATTAAATAATTTATTTTTGGTCCAAATTTCCATATTTTTGAGCGAGTTTCTCGGTTACAAATATATTAAATAAGTAATTTCTATCCATCTTGGATAGAAATTACATAGCTATAACATAGCTTGGATGCTTAATGAGAATATATAACCTCCCTTAGATGAATAACATACGTAGAATATAGTTTAGATGATTAATATGGGCGCATAATGTAAATGTATGGCATCTTAAATGCATAAACATAGGTTATAACATAGCTTGGATGCTTAATGTGAATACACAACAACCTTTAGATGCTATAATATACAAGTCGACCCCCCTATAACACTGTTGATACTTCCGTTTTATATGAATTCCATGTTGTACGAGTCAATTAGATTTTACAAATATGTGAGCCGTTCACAGCCCGGCACACGTATTTGTAAAATCTAAGTGACTCGTACAACATGGAATTCATATAAAACGGAAAAATCAACAGTGTTATAGAGGGGTCGACTCAGTTTGAATGCTTAACATGGGTGCATAACATGAATGTAATTCGTGATATAGATTTATAACGCGTAACATAGATGCATAACTCATCTTGGATACAAATTAAATAGAAATGTGACAACTTGAGGCAAGAACATAAACTCATTTTTTTTTTTTTAAGTTTCTAAGAAAATCACCCTAAAGTTTCGAATTTGTTCTGTATTTTAGGACAGATCGCAGGTGATTAATGACGTTACAGGTTGATAGGCCAGTCTATGAGCTGTTATGGGTCATGAGTCTGGAAATTATATCTGTCCTACAATTGTATATATCCAACAATCTTCGAGAAAGTGAGTCCTTGCCCCAAGGTTCTTCGAATAATTTTAATAAATTAACAGATAAGTATATCATAATACCTTCTCACGTATAATTAACCTTAAATCTTAAGGTATACTGTTACAATTAGTAAACTTATGCAGGTATTATTTTTATAACAGCATTAGATAGCATTAGAACACCTTAAATTAGTATTTTCCTAAAACCTCGCTTTACGACCGCTCGAGTTATAACAGCGAGATTGTAAACAAATCGTTTAAAACCCCGCTTTTACGACTGTATTCTTTGATCACGTATATTCCATATTTATTTAATGTATTTTTCTTTCGATCATTTCTGTGTGATGTTATATAATGAAAGCTGTTGTTTTCAGGAACGTAATTCTTATTTATAACCTCGAATATAAGGTAATTTAACGGCTCGCTTTACGACGATCCTCTAAAAACTAATTAGGAAGTTGAGTAAACTAAATTAAATACACAGGAAACTGGTATTTGGATACTTAACGTTCTTATACATAAAAAAAAATATTAAAATAAACATAGAAATAAAGCATAGTTATGGAACTCCCAATCTTCAATTCCTTTTACTATTATATAGGCTAACAGAGGAAGAGTATGGCGATCTACCAAAAAATGACCCTTTAAATGTTTACGTTTTTGGACTCAGAAGACCTCCAAACGTCTAGAAATGCAAGAAATTTGGACTTTATTTCTGTATTATATTAGTGTGTGCGTGTGTTGGAGGACACGACTTTTAAGCTTAATAACTCCTTCCTCTTTAGTCGAAAATTTCTGAAATTCTGCACGAAGTTTTATGTTTTATCGGAAAATATTTATAGAAATTTTCAAGAAAATCGTACCATTGGTTCGTGAGATATAGCCCCATCCTCTTAATATCTTCCGAACCAATCTGAAGACAAAGAACTGAACTTTACTATAAAGTTAAATATCTGTACAATTAAACAAAATTTATAATGAATAGTTTATTATTTTATTTAAAAAATAAACTCTAAACACGAATAATTAGCCGAATATTTATTTATTAATTCCCTAATCTGTGCATTCTCCATCATCGTCAACGTGTCAGCATCCACTAATTTGTCCATTATCAATACGTTTCTATCAATACTCCACGCAAACATGTGACTTGACGATAAGAAAAATCATTAATTTTAATTGATAAATTAACAAATTTTAATTGAATTTAAACATTTAATTTTAATTTTAATTAATTTTTAAAAACACATTTCCCCTCCTTTCGATACTCTCTCTTTTTCAAGCTTCTCCTAATCATAAAATCTTCCCTAATAATTAATTATAAATCAATTTATATCTTCAGCAATATACAATTAAAATTTTTATTCAATTAAAATAATTTAATCGCGTTTGATCGATTTATAATCATTAACTAACCTCATTAAGTGGACGTAAATAGCCGAAAGTCTGCATTTAATTGATTACATTTTGTAGAATAAATAAAATTTCCTCCTAATTAATTCGATTAAAAAACATAAACTTAATGTTAATTAAGTTCGGAAATTACAGTTAATTGGGTTTTATAAATGTATTTTTAAAAAATCGATTTCGTCCACTAAAATAATAATAATAATAATAATGGTTTATTTAAATCTTATCTGTATACAAAGGAAGAATATAAACAAGCGAACAATCACCATCGTGTACAATGTATAGCCTTATCAGCTGATGTACAAAGTACGACTTGACAGTTACTGTATGATACGATTAGTCTATCTGTCTGGCCAACAGATAAAAAGGAATATTATTAAAGAATGAACTCTGTTCTACAAAGAAATGCACCGAGTCCAATATAGATCTAAGGAGTAGATATTAAATGCTGCCATTATTAAAATATATATATAGGTCTATATATATAATAAACGATAGGCGCTCCTGATATTTTCGAGTAATGCATGACGGACAGACGGACAGACTGGTAAAGTGGAGAAGCCAACTTTCTCTTCGATTTGTAACAAGTGTCCGCCATTTTTATTCCTACAAAATTATTAATCTTTTGTAGTTTTATCGAAGAAAATGGAGAGGATTTTTATGTGAAATTAATTTTTTTAATCAATTTTTTAACCCGGAAAAGTCCATTTTATGTGATTAAAAGGATGTAAAAACAAAAAAAAGGTGTTTCGCTGAAAGACGAATCACGTAACGGAATTCAAAAATTTGAATTTGAAATGCCACGTGATTGTAGTCCCGTGATATCACGTTGTCGAACGGGAGGGGGCATTAATGAGATCACGTGACCAATTTTGAACGAATAAACGACGAGTACAAGCACGTGGCAATTCAGAGTTTTGAATTTGAATTACCGAGTGATTGGTGTATTCTGTAATATCACGTGATCGATTTAAACTTTAATTTTTGGATATCACGCGATTGAAGTCTTCAATGATGTCATTTGATCAAATCAAAGAACCTGAATTTGGTCTACCACGTGACTGACGAAGTCTAAAGTGATTGATCGTGTAATTAAATTCGAATAGCGTGATCGATTCGAAATGGCGAATTTGGATCATCACGTGATTGGCTAATTCTTTAAATTAATAAAATCACGTAACCAATAGTAAAGTTCAAAATTTCAAAAAATCGCGTAACCGAGTTCACGTGACAAATTCAAATATTTAAAAATTTGAAATTCCGCGTGATTGATGAGTTTCGAAGCGCCCCCTCTTATTTACAGAATATTTTTTTTTATTAGAAAATTATATAAAATTCATTAAAACTCCGATCAGCGGCCACTAACGAAACATTTAAAAAAAATGACCGCTGTTTGGAGGTTATTTTGTACGAATATTTGTTTTAAAAAGTTCTGTAAAAAAATAGTCGCCATTTAAAAGTGGCCGTTGTTTAGAAGTTATTCTGTAGGCATTTCTGTTTAAAAAAAAGGAAAGTTTATGAAGAAAGTAGCTGTGGTTTAGGGTAGAGCTGTGGTGTGGTAGAGGTTCTACTATATTTAAATAAGTTGAAACATGATAAACTTTAAAAAAAATAATTTAAATTTCAAGGTACGTTATGGCGATGACGAGTATAACAGATTCCAGAGATAATTTTAGAACGGTTTTGTATATGAATGAGAAAAAATAAAAATAAAATAAAGAATAAAGATTACGAGTTTAGTGACAAGAAACCTCCCACAAGTTATTGACCTTGAACCTTTATTATTCTACAGAACTTCAATGCAGCGTGCCTTGACCATTATCTATACACAAGCTTTTAAACAAAACTACAAACAAATAAACTAATCATTTATATAATATATATATAAACCAGCGATTAGTTTATCTAACAAGATCTTTTACAACATTCTATCAATTTAAAACGTGAAATAAGTTACAATTCCGAGAAGAAATATGATAAATTTAGAGCCAAACTCGTTATAAATATACTTTAAAATCGTGATGTAATATTATTATTATTATTTATATGATTAATAACATTATTTTATTATTAAATACTTAAGAAGAAAGCAAATTAAATCAATTTATTTTTAAATTTTTTAATGATAGTGAAAAATTAAAAATTTCTCAGGGGTCGCTGGGTACGTAGTCACGTGATACACTCCAGAAACACGTGGCTAAACTTACTAATCACGTGGTTGATGTTAATGTATTTATTTGAAACTACAAAATCATTTATTGTTCTGGAACAAATTAAATAAAATATAAAACGATTTTTTTTTCGATGTTAAATCGTATAAATGACATTTTTTTTAATTTAAAATACGCAAAAATTCGCCAGAAATTGGTGCAGATAAGTCAGAGTTTTGGAGCTATTAGGGGGGAATCAAATTAGGGTGGTCATGTGTCCAGGTTCTATGGTTAGCCTATATTTTCTGCAGTGTCCTAGAGAATAAATATGAAAAATTTGGTGGGAATCGGTTCAATGGTTTAGAAATGGAGGCCTGCAGCGAACAGACAACCGGACAGACACTCTATTTTACTTACATACATCTACAGTAGACAATAATACTTATATAGGGTGGCAGAAAAGTCAGTTAACCGTGTGAATCTATCGAACAAGCTATATAATAGTTATAATTTCCTTAAAGTGTTATGATCTGTGCATTGAACAAGAAGGGTCTTATTTCAATTAACTCTTGTAAGAATTTTAACTAATAAAACGTATAAATAAAAGAAAAATTTAAGATTTTACAACGGTTAACTGAATTTTGAACCTTGTATAGGCTAAATTTAATTTTTAAAAAAATCTAACGTCGTCTAGGAACCAAGCACTTATAATTGAAGATTATTGCCCATAAATAAGCAATAAATTGGATAATTAATTATTATATAGATATTTATTACATGAAAACATGGCTGAAAAATGTAAATACATTTTAATATACGACCGTATTCGAGGTGATGATAAATTATAAAATATATATAAAGATAGGAATAGCAGGGGGACATGTTGAATGATATTTGTGTCCGTTCCGTTTTAAGGGAAAACGGAGAGAAATGAGGAAATATCTAAGGGACACTCCGTCTACGTCACGAACACATCATCCTCTGACTGTCACATTACATTAACTATCTTTGCTACGACCGAGGAGGTCGATCCATTTTAATGAAAAGCGACTGTCTCTTCAGGTACAGCTTGTTTTCTTGATCGCCAAAGCAAGAAGAAGAAGAAGAAGAAAAATAAAAACAATTTAAGAGGAAACATGAAGTAAGAGAGAATTAGCGATGGAGCAGATGGTGTCGGAGACTAAGAAGAATAAAAAATAGAAAAAAAAAATTCTTCTTAGTTCCATTGACAGGGCTGTTAGACTAGACTTTCATGGAGGTTAAATATCTGGTCTGCTTAGTGCAAAAACCTCTTAAGAGAGTTTTTATGTGTCAACTGAGGCACGGTAACCGCAAATAATTTTTTATTTTTTTATTTTTCTTCCCCACACAAAGATAGCGACTCTATCCATTCTTCGAGACGTTATACTAAATATAATTTATATATATATATATATAAATTATATTTAGTCTAGTTCAGATTATATATATATATTTAGTATTATTGTTTTTATTTGTAATTAAAATTCCGTTTTCTCGGGGCATCGTTTTATCAGTAATTTTGTTTTATTTATTAAATAAAAGCGATTAAAAATAGTTTTTCTTTCTTTTTAAATATTGAAGACGATAAAGTATTATATAACTGCATAAAAAACACCGTGCATTACCGGTATAAATTACGCAAATTTTCTCTCTCTTTTTTTTTTAAAGTTTGAGAATGTTTAAATGTTAAATTTAAAACCAGAATTTCAAGTTCAGATTATCAGCATGCAGGATCAGCACCATTTTTTTTTCTTGTTCGTACTCATCTACTGTACTTTTGTAGAAGGAAATTTAGCAATTTTATTGGGCATACCTCATATCTCACTAGGTAAAAAGTAAAGCATCCGTGATAAAAACCTGGACATCAGCCTAAAAAAATTGAATTAATGTGATATATATTACTCGCATACCTCTTTACCTCTAGTAGATAGAACACATAGAATCTGCATACCTCTAGTTAGATATATGTATTCTAAGCAAGTCAATTTTTAAGATAGCCTGTGAGGTGTTTTTAACATCGAAATTTCCCTTCTTTTTTTAGCATGATATATATATATAACGTCTATCCAAAGAACTCTTTAAATTAGATAAGAGGAGAAGGTTGGTTACTCGTTGGGTTCCATTTGAAAAAGAACAGACGCCAGAAGAAAGAAAGAAATTGAACACGATGATTGCGAGCAACCAGGAAGATCACACAGTTACAACTAGTGGTGACATTAACCACGTCAAAAAATGATACATGCACGAGAAATATAAGTAGGTAATTTAGTTGCTTGTTGTATATAGCGCCGTTCGCATCCATCCCCGGGGATACATTTAGAACTGCTAATTGAACGCAACTAAACCTGTTCCTTATTCACGAAAAGGGCACTAGAAAAACATTATGACTGAACAACACTCTTACTTCCTTCGGGCCAATCGTAAAAGCGGTGGTACTGACCACACAAGAGTTCACCTCATATCAAATGATGTAGCCGCCTTTCTTTACATTTTGCTCTTTAAGTGTTGCTTACGAGTTATGTGTGCCGCGATCGGGAGTTCAATTCAGAATTCAAAAAATGAAGAGAACTTCAGACAAATGATTCCTATTTTTTTTTTTTCTTTTTCTTTTTTATAAATGAATAATAAAATATTTGACAAATCAAGGCAATTTCTCGTTGATTAATATTTTGTATCTTCCTCATAAATCATACACAATACATTGTTAATGTATTGTTCTGGTAAAACTACAACAATAATTTTTGACGTTTCCTCGTTACAAAATTACTTCAATTCTTTTAAAAACTAGCCTTGGGCTGTGCCATACTACTGGCCGAACTGGGAATGTATGACGGACAACCCTGGATACAATACATCACCTTGGATGTCGAAAGCAAGGACGAATGGAGAAAATATACTGAAGAGCACACCAGTCCTTTGCAAACGGGTTTTTTTTTTTTTTTGCTGTCGTTAATGCACATCCACGCGTTGGTTTTTTCGATAATTTCATACATTGTACCTTTAGAATAACAGAATTATGATTTTTTTCCACGTTGTTTCGGTTATAAAGTCAATACCCTCACAAGAGAAAACCCTGTTCATTTATGCTTCGTGTAATTGTTCGTTGTAGAGTAATTTCCAACTTCGTACATTTAACAAACGTGTGAAATCGTATCCAACTCGTAAAACCGATTGAGTGATGTTATCTATGTGTCGATGGCGAGTTTCGTAACGTCCTTGAAGATGTGTACACTACACGTTAATCAGGCAGTTTGGAGCAGAGCCAGTTCATTATTAGAGACAAATCGTGGTGGATATTGAAGGACGCGACTCGTCCCGTGTTCTTACCCCCTTAAAATACCGATTTTTAAGTAGCAAAGCGTTTCAAAGTGCCACAGCAATGCCAAGAAATCTCTAAAAACGTCGATTTCCACGGTAACAAAGCGTGTTAATTTCAAGTTATAACCGAAATCGACTTGCGAATCTTCTTTAATGGCTTAAAAATAGATGAAATTCTCCGCTTTGCAGCTTCAATTTGGCACACTTAAACACGTGTGCGTGTCTTCCCCCCACCAAAAAAAAAAAAAAAAGCCAAACTACTTATTCGCGTAACGATACTGTTCTCGTTTCTCCCCCGATGTTACGTACGAGTTCGAGTAATGCGGGTAACGACGACGACGACTGAGCAAGGCGGAAAGATTTTGAAAGATGAGATTGGCACAGATAATTAGATCCAGGAAAACCAGGGCATGCGTGAGTGATGGACAGGAATGGTTGTGAATTAGACCTTTTCCAGTTGTTTACAATCTAGAACTAGTAGGAAAGATTGACCTGTTTGGTTGACAAATTAAGTTGAATTACTTCTGTAGCCTTCAAGCGTAAGTAAAGAAGAATAGATTCCTGCTGAGATCACGTTGTTTCCCTTATAATTACAAACCGAATTTGTTGACCTTTCTATAGGTGTTAACAACAATCGAAGGAAGAAATGCGCGATATTTAAGAACGATAATTCTAATTTGCAACGATTAGACCGTATTTTTTCGAGTTAATTGTAATTAAAAACTATAATTCGAACCTCTGAAAAGTTGTAAACAAAGGTTTTTTTAAACAGTAAAATTATTAAATCGATTCAAACAAAGGAGCATCTAGAAGGAAGTAACCATACAAAGAAACCTCATTATTAATTAACTTGTTCGATTCTAAGCACGCCCATTATATTATATATAGGCTACATAAAAAAGTTAAGTTAAAAAATTAAAATTTAGACATTAATTATTGTTCTAATCATTAGAATTATACGAACTTATAATTAATTACGTTTCCGGAATCAAGTTTGGAAGCTGCTTACAGGTTGTTTTGTCTACGAGATTTTGGAGCTTTCAGCGTAGAATATAAAAAAAAAAACAATAATAAATATGGTAATTTACCTACTTAAACTTCTAAGAAACGATAAAAATTAGCTGCTTCTCTCGTATTTCAACCCTTTAAAAGTCGTGAAAAAGAAGAGGAGGAGTAACTCTTCCTCTAAGAATCTTTAATAATTATCTTCATCTATTCCGTTTGAATGCTTAGAAAACAATAAAGGAAGATGAGAAGAACTTAAAATTGAGCACGTACTTTATATTTTAAGCTTGTATAATTAATTAAATGTAACTGATAATGTAAAGCAAAAGAAATTGCGACATTCACGAGCTCTAAAAGGCACTAATTTTATCAATTTTCCAAATTCGAGAGTGCAAGAAGAGTGCTAAAAACTTAATTCTGAAAGGGTAGAATGACCGGTTCTTTTGAAATCGTATAAGTTGCCATTATTCAACAGCTTAATTTCGTCAAATTCACAATCCCCTCCCTTATCATTCATCGTAATTGTTAATGAATTACACTGAATGATGTGGGGGTGCGTTTAAAATACAGTCGAGTTGAAAGTTTAGATTCAATTACGACTACGAAAAAGTAACTTCATCGCTTTGTCGCGGATTATTTTATGTAAATAAATGTTATCTGAGATGGCAACAAGGGTAAGATGCCCCACCAGCTTTAAATTTCACGCGAGAGATGTAATTTAAAGAGATGCTTGCCACATGAATTTGCAACCTTCTTAGTTCTATGAAGGTTGCAAAGCTAAACTTATGGTGCAGTTATTGCTTAAAACTGTTAATGACTGCAGAAATTTTTAAATAGTTCATTCATATTACTAGTAATTAGGCTTATAAGAAGACATTAATATACCAATAGTACCATTAAAAAATGTCTACGTAGACAATGCCTCAACCCCTCCCCCATTGTATACAGTGATGTAGGCAAGTATAAATGCTGAGACATTTCTCTATTCCTTTATACAGAAGGATCTTTACCAAAAAAAAATCCCTCTTATTAGGAAGAATTGCTCATTAACTAGAGAAGATATCCCTGTTTGATGGACAACCTTCGCCAATATTTTTGATTCAGACATTGAAGAACACACGTTTAAACATACAATCTACGAGAAAAAAAGGCAATATATGTATAGTAACCTCTCGTGTATTGTCTTTAGATTTACAAAGAAAAGTACGCTTGAAATGCCATAAACGCGGAGAAAGATGGCCGAAACTAGTGGCCACCCTTCACCTAATTAACAACCATACCAAAAAAAAAACCATTTTAATTTAAACACATAATTAACAGAATACGAGTTAAACATGGGCGATAGATCATCAACAGGAATTAAATCTGGCACAAGCGCGCATTAACCCCTAAGAAACTTATTTTAATAAAGCATAATTCAGCCAAATTGGCAGAAATTAACCACAAGATAAGAAGAACAGAAGAGAAGGGAGTAAAAAAATAATCGCTCGCAATTAAAATCAAAGAATTACTTTCATCTAAAATCAGTGAGGCTGCAACAAAAGGTAAGATTGGGGGGTGGCTAACGAGAGATCGTAAACAAAAATAAACAAAAGTGCGGCCATTAACATGTAGTATCGAAGTGACACTATTAACCCAAGTAATAAAAAGGCGGCATCAAAAGTGAAGAAACCAACTCTCTTTAACACTAATTTGTTACATTATGCCCCGTTGTGAACACCGTCCATAATGAAATTTTCCAACAGAAGAAGCTTTTTCCCCTAATCCTCTGCGGTAGTTGTTTTAAGTGTTCTTCTGGTCGACGGAGCGGAAAACGGAACAACCATTTAGAAATCATTCCTCCGAAAACTAATAATTTTGATAAGCATCCTTGTAAAACTAAAGAGGAAAAGTCTCTCTCTGTCTCTCTATCCCTCCTCCTCTTCTTTTTTTTCCGGGGGTTCTGCTCTCCCGTTACGTCATTTAATTCTTACCTCACGCGTTTTAACGTAAGCAATCTTCACTTGTAGTGTTAAAACACTACAAGGTACACGTGCAATAAATAATATTAATTAAAAACCTGGTTGTTTAAAAGAAAATTACGCTTATGTTTATGAATAATCTGCCATTCTTTATGCGGTAAAAGTTAACTTTAGATACTTTTTATGCGTACAGGCACGTGAGAAAATGATCTAAAAGTTACTCCTACTAACTTTTGAGTCGTATGCTTCACGGGTATAACGATTATCTTAAGAATAATACGCTATGTCGGAGATTCTATTATTGTCTTTGTTAAAAATGCCAAAAAAAAATAATATTAATTCTTGAAGTAAATTGCAATATTTCACGAAATTCTCTTTAGAAAGTTTTCTTAACCCAAGTTTTAGATTAAGAAATGACTTGAGAATGGCGCAAAATGCGAGAAAACGTTCTGAAATGCGTAGCGTTAAATCGGGGTTTGCTTTGCTGTATTTGCTGTACAGCCGAAACATTTGCTTTTTTAAAAGTTACTTATTTCTAGATAAATAAATGACCCGAGAATAGCGCAGAATGCGGGGAAATGTTTTAAAATGCGAAGCGTTAAATCGGGTTTATGATGTATTTTGTTATAAGAGCATAGCTCTAGATTTCTTTAATACGATTCTGTTAATGGAAACTTTAATTAGAAGATGCTTTGAGTGTGCTTCTATAATTTTACTTGTATACGTGTATAATGTTTAATTAATATCAAGCAGGATATTTCGTTGATACTGTACACAACTGTATAAACTACAGAATGATCGCAGCGTGCTTGATAACAACGTTATCTGAAGTTACTTATAATCAAAGCGATAATGGAGTGTCCTTCAGGAAGATACTTTTTAACAAAAATTTACGAATTAAAATATATTTTCCACTTGAAAGATTTCATTAATTGAAAGTCTGATCGTCAACATTACCATAAACACACGTGGCAAAAAGAAATGCCAGCAATACCATAAAAACATGAGAATTTCACCTCTCGAAGGTGTTACATAAGCTTAATTTCCGTGCGGAAGAAAACGAAGAAGAAATGCTTAAAATGACACTTACCTGCAGATTTTGTTGCGTAATTTGTTGAGCTTGAGACATCTGCAAACTTGGACCGGAAGGGGGCCTTTGTCCGGAAGTAAACTGGCCAGAAATTGGGCTTCCTACAGAAGAATCTGTGAAGTGGCTCAAAGGTCTAGTACCTCCGTATTGAGGTTTATGATCCGTTGTAAAACTCAAATTCTGTTTACCATCCGAATTTATCCGCTGGAGGAGTAAAACCTGTTGCCTCTTGTGCATTCCCACCTCGGGAATATGGCCCATCCCGTCCATACCGGGAAACAAATTGTCATTACTTTCGTGTTTGTACATGACGGTCCCCGGCTGAGTCCTGATGCAAGAGAAATCCGATTGAGGCACGTAAGCCATTGGTGGATAAAGAGAACCTGGAGATTTCTGCAAAGGATTGAGGTGTGTCGAAGTCCCGTTTATGAAACCCGATCTCATCGAGGGTAGCGAGAGAGGATCGGCGAAAGCATCGGTTGCAAAGGGCGAACGTGAGTGAGGAGAACCCAAACCTAAACCCAATTGTTGCTGCTTTTGCTGCATGCTCTGATGCTGTTCAGCCATCTGTTTCAATGTCTGAGCAGCAGGGCTTGGTTCTGTTAATTTAAAGTCTAAACCAAGAGTCGAGTTCATACTTAGTGGCGAAGAATGAGTGTAGGGTTGAACACGTGGATTGGGTGGGTAAGGGGGAGTCGACGGGGTCGTCGTCATGACAGGAGTTGACGAATCGAACAATGGAGATGCCGATTGATTACCGGAGAAGGGTGATATCATGGGTGGTGTGGGAGGGAAGTGAATTTGAGAAGCTGTGGTAGAAGAATTGGTTTTTCCACCCACCTCCATTACACTTCCACTACATTCCAGATTCTTGTCCGTTTCCTCACCGTCTTTACTAGCCGATTCCTCAAAATTGAAATCCTTCATCAGGTCTGTGGGATTGGTGAATACGTCATCGATCAAGTCTTTAAGTATATCCGGATGGATAACATCATCCGCCGAATCTTCCGGGAAACCTAAAGTTGGGAAAGTATCAGGGAAGCGATCAGTGGTACCGTTAGTCCGATTATTAATATTGTAATCAACTTCTTTCTCCTGTTTACACTCGATGTTTGTTCCAACAGAAATGTCAGCACCGTTGGTAGACACGCTACTCGTTGCAGAGGCCAAAGGTGACGAAGAGTTTTTGAGATTACCAGTCACAGCTTTCACTGTTACATTAGTTTGTATGGTTTGGGAATGCGGTGTTTGACAAGAATTTGATGTATTAGTGAACTGTTGAACTATCTGAACGGAGAAACTTGGTATCGTCGTTGTTTCCTGACAATCCGCAGTTCTGTTATTTCGAGAAATTTTGACTTGGTGCTCGTGATCTTCGCAATTTTGATCTGTTTGAAGAGTTGCGCCCGGACCCTTCGCCTGTCTTTTATTCGTTTTTGACTGCTGAAAAGAAGTAAAAAAAAGTCATGATTTTAATAAAATAACACTTAAAAACTACTGTAATAATGATTTAAGCAATGAAAAACGAGAAGAAAATAGCGCAGAAACTCATAAACAACGTCATAGATGAGTAATAAAAAAAAACACTACGTTTGTAAGCAATTTAACACTAGATACACCGCTTAAATTACCTAACAATTAATCAATTTCTTTTTTTAAAGCAGAAAATTAACTAGAGTATTAACACTACCGCGCGAGAGAATAGATAGAAAGTAAAAAAACACACCCCTACAGTTTTCCAACTAAGCACAAAACCCACCACCCCATCTTCTTACCGCATCCATGCCAAACTGAGCCGATGAATGTCAACTCAGTCATCAAACTCTACACAATGCTACAGCATCGTCTGACAGAGCAGACGAACCGCCTTCTTCCTCCCGCTGTGTCCTGCACGACACTATGACGTCACCTGTTTACCACACTGTCTCCGTTTCAATCCTTTCTACTCCTCCCACTTATCTGTCGACAGCGCCTCCAGTGTTGGTGCTTTACCTTTGTTTGCGGTTGCAAAAGGTGGAGATCTCGAGCTCCCCCCTACGTACTTTTTTTTTATTATTACGAAAAGGTCGTCGAACTCGTGCGTCATCGTTTAACACCCCTCGTACATTTTTTTTTAATTTCTTTTTATGCGGCACGGCCATCGAAATGATACAAAAATTGAATACTTTGTCGATGTTTCTTGGCTGTTTGAAACCAGTTTTTTTGTCCAGACATCGTACGATCTTTGTGATGATTGAGTTGTGTGGTGGGTCTCCCTTCCGTTTAAACCGTACCGAAGCCGATAACAGAAATATGCCGCCTCTGAGACACGTGATTGGTCAGAAACGGCATCACGTGTGACGTGTTTATGTGATGGTTAAGTAATCAATGTGCGGTCACGGGTTATTCGAGATTTTTTTTTAACAATGTGGACGAGAAATTCGTTATTTAATTATTTCACGAGTATTTTAAGACCCGTCTCGAGCTACAGTTTCATTTTTTAGACCCATAAACACGTCTGTAAGCCCTATATTTATGTATACAAGCGTATATGAAGTCACCTTTATACCCCTAATTTTATGAAGAAAAATACATTTAAAATATTTTCTCTCCTTAATTAGTATTAAAATTAAAATTTTTAAAGTTAAATTAGTTTATTTTTTAAAGAAAATGCTGTGAAAATTAAATATAATTTAATTATTTTCAGAAAAAGAAATTTGTCTGATGCTCGAGAAGATGCTCTTAAGCTTCTCTTCGAGCTTGAATTTATGCTTGTTAATGAGCTTAAAATAAGTAAAATATTAAGTTCAAATACTCAAAATGGACTGTTTTAGTTAATTTTTTAAACAAATTTGAATGTTTTAAACACCCCAAAACACTTTAAAATTTGGTTTTTGATCGAGTTTTCACGCTTTTATAACACGTCTTTTAATACATTTTTTTTGTTATTTTGTTATTATAATACGCCTTAATTTGAATGTAAGAGGGATTAAATGCCTCCTATATTTAAATAAAGTTTAAAAAACAAACTTTTAAAGCATTACTAACGGCTTCAAAAGGAGAATTTATAACAGATTTAACGATTCACAACAACCTTGAACAACGTCGAAACACTTCTACACAGTTACATAAAACATTAAATTCTAAATTTAAAGCTTAATTACAGCTAATAAATGTATAAAATTCCGATTTTAAAGCTTAATTTAATTACACTTTTTAATTATAATTACAATTTCATTATAATTAAAAAAAATGTATGAAATTCCCATTTTAAAGCTTAATTACAATTAAAAAAAACTGTATAAAATTCCCATTTTAAAGCTTAATTACAATTAATAATTGAATAAGATTCCTATTTTAAAGCTTAATTACAATTAAAAAACTGTATAAAATTCCCATTTTAAAGCTTAATTACAATTAATTGAATAAAATTCCTATTTTAAAACTTAATTACAATTAGAAAACTGTATAAAATTCCCATTTTAAAGCTTAATTACAATTAATTGAATAAAATTCCCGTTTTAAAGCTTAATTACAATTTAAAAAAGTAAAAACGTAATTGGTTTACAGGGTAAAAACGTCGGAAGGTATCGGTTGCGCCAAGGGGATACAACTTGATCCCTGCTACAAAGAATGCCCTCTTTCAATAAAAATCTTTCAACCTGTTTTATTCTTTGTGACGTACAGAAGAAAGTATAGTTTGTGTGTATACATATATACATACACGTCTAGACCTACTACATTTATATATATACCTGGAAAAGTATCCATTGGTTGTTGAATCCTCCCGAACGATCCCAACCTATCATTAGAATTTGAATATGAAACATTTGGGGAAAGGAGTCCATACAATTCCAAAGCAAAATGGGAATGGAACATTGGTAATGATAGTGTCATACACAGTGCCACTCGGGTATTAATGATGGGCCACAGGGTCGAGCAAGAAAGCCTTGGGGGTACAACCAGGAAAACCATCGACTTGACACAATGGAAAAGGAGAAATGTTCTAGATTCTGGATGAAGTTATCTGTTATAAATCGTTTATTCCTACATCTACCGGAGTAATTTATATATTTTTAAATATTATTTGCTTAAAGTAACCCGCTTATAACGTTTTCTTCTTCTTCTTCTTTAAAACAAGCACGTGGATACCCTGGAGGGAGGAAAATGACGTGAATGGTAACGACTTTCTGCCGTTTTTATACACGAAAGCGAGCCGAAAATACTTTCTGAGCAGGTTATTTTGATTAATTTAGTAGAAATGAAGATATGGGGTGGTCCAGAAATCAGTTAACTAACCCGGCCGATTAGACGTTATCTTGGTAAACCGACTTTTAGGCCACTCCTTGTTTTTTTTTAATTATTACTATTATTTATTTTTTTAAGCTTTACAGGCGTATATTTGTATAAATTGTGGTGTTTAATAACTTTAAACATATCGTGTTCAACACAGATTGCTAATAGGATTCGTATCATGCTTAAAAGTGGATCGATCTGAATCAATTCGTTACGTGTCCTAGATTCTGAATGAATTTATCTGTAATAAATCGTTTACTCGCGTATCTAGAAGAGTAATTTGTATATTTTTAGATATATTTTGTTAAAGGAACCAGCGTATAACGTTTCTTAAAGAGGCAAACACATGGACACTCTTAAGAAAAAGAAAAGTTATCCGAAAAATAACGTTTTAAGCGGGTTTTGCACAAATTATTTTATTAAATTTCATGAAAATTAAAATTGGTTTTAACACGGGGTGGTCCAAAATTCAGTTAACCAACTAGGCTAAATCGACATTACCTTGGTTAACCGACTTATGGGCCACACCCTGCATTTTTAATTTATTTTTAACTTTATATACATAAATTATGATGTTCAACAGCCTTAAACTTATTATGTTCAGCATACAGAGTGCTAATACCACTTAAGATTCGTAGGACGTTCAGTAACAATAAGATAAATAATAAATTTCAAAAAATTCATGAATTCAGCACGTTCGGTATCTTGAACACATGCTCATTATGATCATATAATATCCCAATGCAGCAAGCATCTTTAACAGAGCATTAAAGCATAAGACACCGTGTTCAACATACTAAATTACATTGTAGATAAAGCTGAGCACATAAAGTCCAACTGCACCAAAGAACTTTATTAAAACATTAAACGTGTTCAACGTACCGAATTCTAACAGGAAGTTTATAATATATTCCTCCTAAATGTTACGTTCAACTTTATATTACGTTTTACACGTTCAGCTTACTGCTGAACACATAAAATCCCATTACAACAGAGAATCCTCCATCTCTAACACAACATTAAAGTGTAAGACAACGTGTTCAACATAAGTTCTATGTATAGTATATATTGACATACTTAAATTACGTTCAATCACAAGCTGAACACGTAAAGTTCAGCTGCACCAACGAACTTAATTAAAACAAAACGTGTTGCAGGATAATCCAAAAAAAAAAAAAAGTCAGTTAACTAATCCGGCCGATTCTATATTATCTCGGTTAAGCGACTTTCGGGCCACCCCCGTTAACAGTGTTGCAATGCGATTTTGTGAGTTCAATTCGCTGTTGAACGCACGAAATCCCCCTCTTCTGCAACAGCAAATAAACGTGCCAAGTGCAAGTAAACATCAATTTTTCCGCGGTTGAACATTCGAGTAAATGAAAAATGTCGAGAAAACAGATTAAAGTGACAAGTTGGCTCGCAGTTTTCTCAATTGTTTAACGAGTTAATTGGTCGAACCCGAAAATAAAACGAGGGGATCCTTTAATGGATAAAGCTTATTCATCTTGATTAATCCCTCGGCAATTTTTCCACCGTATTATTATTAAATTTATAAAAATTTTTTAAACAATAATAACAATAAAAGAAGAAGAGAAGGGGGAGGTGAAAACTAAGAAAAAAAAAAAAAAGAAAAAAGTCAGACATACGAGACGTATAATTGAGTTCAAGCTTAATATTTTCGTCATAAACTTTAGTTATAAATGGTGCGTGCCAGAGACATCACTGAATGATGAGAGAGGAACTCGGAGCAGCAAGAAGATGATGAGGAGAGGAGGAAGAAGAGGAGAGGGGAGGATGGTTCCGATAACTTTCCAATTGCGTCAGGTTAACGTGACGCATTCCTCGCGCAATATATTTTAAAACACGCGCAATTACAATGACCCTAATTAACCATAATGTATCGAAATTTAAGAGCAAACTTTAAGGGAGAGAGGGGGGAGAGAAAGAGGAAGAGGAGGGGAGTTTAAAGTTGTTTATTTGTAGTCGATAGGCCGGTCATAGAGTGGACTCGAAAGCTAAAACGGGGGAGGAGGGGGGCGGTAAAAAAAGAAAGGGTTCGGCTCCAGTCGTGTCGTTGACATATTTAATTAAAGCCAGCATTTGTCAAGTTGCTCGGTTGTCTTCCTTTTCTCCCGTCTCTTCACCCCTCAACCCCTTATTACAGATGA